CAAGTGTTTTGCTTCTTGACGCCGCAACTTAAGGTTTGGAAAAGGACCTGAAGAAAGAAAAAGTTATGAATCTAATTGACCGCACACATTCTCTTGTCTGAAAGAGAAAAAAAGGAGAGATTTTGCTTGTCGCCAGGAATTTTGAGAGGCAGCTGCAGCTCAATCCTGTTGCTGTAATTCTGAAGCTAACATAATTATTGTTCTTCAACAAATCTTCATCAGATATAATTACAGGAACTATTAGCAATCACATGCCTGCATGAAAAAGTACAAAACAAAAAGAAAGGGAATCCAAAGCAGTGTTTTTCAATCAAAAACAAGGAATGGACACCCTGATTTTGCTTCTAATAGATTTTCCCAATTTTAATCAAACATGCTTTGATGTTGTTGGTAGACCTCAAACCAAACATTATGGGATTAATTCACGACTGCTTTTAAAGATTAAATTGTCTTAAATGTTTGGATAACCACCCTTTTGCTTCCTTAAAAAGGTCTAAAACATTCACATAATTTTTGAGAAAGTCTACCAAACATTGTACATGATTATGTATGTAAATCAGACTTGGATTTCATTTGTTTTACAGAAAATTAGAACATAGTTATGACAATGGAGATATCATGCTTCTCTCTTCTTTAGAAGGTAAATTTATATTATATGTTGATTTGCATGAACTTTGGAATTTGTACAAAATAATATATATGGTAAATTGTGTAATGGTTTTATATTTAATTTATGTTAGTTTTATGTAATATGATATTATATCCCTTTAGACATCTAATCGTACAATTCTATTTCATATAACGAAATTTTATATTGCACGAGTTAAGCGAATTTAGTGATTAAGAGATTATATTATCTCTTAACGTTATGAGAATTTGAGTATATCGTATATAGAAGTATGGGTGTTCAATGTCATAAGATTAAGAGTTTTTAAATAAATAATATATTGTATTCATCTTGGACTACTAAAAAATAAACTTTAACATTTACTATGTAATTAAATGTCGATTGAGTTTACTTTGTGTGTAATTCGGAGGACATAAATTTGAGTAATTTAAGGGTACAATTTCCTTCTGTTAGAGATGTGAGAATTGGGGCAAGAACCAAACGATTTCAGTGTTAAGGGATTTGTTGTTATTTTTTAAGGTTTAGGGTTCAAACATTGCGTATGCCAAGGGATTGAGTGTTCATTGCCAAATGATTGAAAATCTTTGAACAAATAATACATTGTATTCACCCAAATTTGTCCAAAAATAATGTGAGAATAGTATAATTTAGATATTGTATAAACAAAAATTATTCAAATAACTCCTAACCTTTAATTTTTTTAAAATAAAGTCTTCACATAAATAAATATTTTATTTAGAATATTGTTTACGTAGAATAAAAAATATATAAAATAATACAAAGAAATTAAAAATAAAAATATATTATTTTGTATTATATAAATGGTGTCTAATAAAATTGCATAAAACAAAATATTTAATTTGATGTATCCAAAGAAAGAAAGAAAAAAAGGAAAATCTTTGCATTTGGGGTAAAAGAAGCAAGCAGGTTGACCTAGAATAGAAGGTTCGATTTTGAAATTAATTTTTATTTTTAAATAATTTTAAAATATTTTTTTAATTAATTTCGGTTAAGTCAATATCCAATCTCAAATCCAGGCTTAGTTTCTTTTAAATTAAAGTCCAATTTCAGTTCAAGCCCAATTCAAGTTGGCCCATGTAGAGTTTAAATTAGGTCTTTAGGGTTATTCACCATATATGGACACTATTTATTCATTTACTTATTTTGAAAATGAACTTATTTTTTCCGAATAATTTTAAAATTGATTTATTGATCACCATGCAGTTAAAACTCTATAAATTAATAATATCAGGACCGAAAATTATAAAGGGATCTCACGAAAAATTATTATCTTATTATTTTATCGAGTTTTTCAATTTTTTACATTGGCCCAAGTCGGGACCGGACAAATTTATTATTTTAGAGAGTTTATTAATTTACCGAGTATTAATTTAAAGAGTTTCTATTGTATATAGATTAATATTTGATATATCTTTAATCAAATATTTTACTTTCATAAATAATACTTAAATACTATCACATTGATATTATATTATGATAATATATGATATTAGTTGACATAATGTTAAAATTACTCTTAATGTTTACGTAAATGGTAATTTGCACCCTAGTTTTTTTTAACATTTTACGTTCTAACGTTTTAATATTTTGTCAAAACATACAATGTTAGATGAAAATCGTTAGTTAACTAACGATCATCCCATGTTGCTGATGTGACATTTTCAAATGTGTCCAATTATTGATGGGTTCCATGTTATGTCATCATTTTTGGCGAGGCATTTCACGCCACATAATCATTTTGAGATACATGTCAGTCATAAAGTGAACACATATGAAAATGTCACATCAGAACATGAGTTGGCCGTTAGTCAACTAACGGTTTTTATCTAACATAATATGTTTTGACCAAAAATTAAAAAACTGGAAGAGGATAAAATGCTCCAAAAGAAAATAGGACACAAAATGACTATTTATGCAAATATAGGGGAGTATTTTTGTCATTATGCCATACTAATTTAGGATATATTATTAAAAGTGGCAATTAGGCATGTTCAAGTTGATTTTGGGTTAAGCCGAACCGTTTTAGGTTTAGATTATTTTAGGTTTAGGTTTAGTTTTTTTTTCGAGTTCGGGCTTTTTTTTTAAAATTTGAGATTTTTTAAATTCAAACATTTTCAAGATTATGTTTGTTTAATATTATATTTTTAAGATTTTAGTGTAATAATTATTTCACATAATTATTATATTCAATTAAATTTATTAATTCAATAAATTTTTGCTTTTTATTTATGTGTATATGCACGTTTTGTCCTCATCTATGAAGTTGGATGCAAAGCAATAGTTGTTGGTTATCAAATAGTAATATATATATATATATATATATATATATATATATATATATGTTAGATTATAAGATTATTTATAATACAAAAGATAATTTATTAATTGATAATCTAAATGAATTTGTAATCTATGAAATTATTCTGAATAAATAATTTATATTAGAATTATTATATTTTCTAAAATCCGAAGCAAAGGTATCTATTTAGGCTGGGTTAAAAGTTATCTCGTGCTGCAAAGGTTTCTGGGCTTGAAAATCAACCTTATGGTTTGTTTAATAACCCGTTGAAAAACAATTCAATGAAAATTATTAACTACAATGATTTAATATTTTAAATATGTTTGATTATTTAAAATTAAAACTAAGCTTTAGAAGTTTCTCAGTGAAAATGCGTGGAAAGTAGATAAAAACTTATTGCTTGATGGAGAATTTTAATTTTGATTTTCTTTTAAAAAATCCTATTTAAAATGATTTGTTTAATATTAGTATTGGTCGTGTTTATCCTTCATCGTCGATAATTGAGTTTGTTAATATATATTATTTATCTGAATTGTTCCGTTGAATTTTTAACCATTTCTTTATGGTCATTCTTTGTTTTTAAGTGACTAGTTTATGTACTATCGTGATTTTAGAAAAAAAAAATATACATTTTATGGTAATTCTTTGTTTTTAAGTGACTAGTTTGAGCCCTAACTTACACGTAATTTTTCCATTTTGCCCATTTAGTTATTTTGTTTCTCTTGATTAAGTCTTTGAATATGAGTGTGTTAATTAACTTGACATTAATTTCATGATTAGTTTCTATTAGGTATTAATTAGAGGTAAATTGATTAATTTGACTTTAATTATTAATTAGGTTTAATGTGGTCCTTAATTAATATTTGACTTAATTTTTTAATTTTAGTTCAATTTGATCTATAATTTGAAATGAGTTGATAAACTTGAGTTTCATTTCTTAATTAATTCATTTTAGTCTGTAATTTGAAATTGGTTTAAGTTTCTTGATTATTTCAATTTGATCCATAATTTGTAATTGGTTAAAACACGTGCCTTAAAATTCTTAATTAATTTCAGGTTAGACCATAATTCAAATTTGATAACAAACTTAGCTTAATTTTATTGATTAATGCAATTTGGTCCTAATTTGGTTTCTCTCGTTTACAATTAAAGTATGCCTCATTGAAAAATCAAACAAATGTACTTAGAACCTTTTTTATTTTGTTTTATGATTAAGAGATAAATTTAGATGGAAAAAAGGTGAAATTAAAAATCTTGATAAAGAATCAACAAATCAAACACGTATGCAAACAGCAATTATACCTTATGTTTTCCATTGAAATTATTTATGAATTATAAATTTAAAACAAAGCATCTTTAAGATAAAATAATGTGTGCATAATGTTGTTTATGGCCTCTTTCTTTTACTTCATTGGTAGAGACCCAAAGAGTTAGGCGTCTAGTCCAAATCAATGTTGTAATCAAAGTTCAATTATTAGATAGGCTATGAAACATGAAATAGTAAGCCGAACCCCTATGCAATTATTATTAGGTAACCATTTTTCTTTTAATTCATTTAACTTTTTTTTTTGTTTGATCACGTGTTTTTAATATATTGATTGATTAATTCAAATCGAATTTTTGAATAATTTCATTATGAGATCAAACTTTTTAAATTAATTTTCTTTATTTAATATTACAATTCACACGTATGATATTTTTTAAGAAATTTGATATCTCGTCACAGTAAAACAACAAATTATTGATTAAGTAATTTGATTTAAATATGCTATAAACCAAACCCATCATTTTGATGGCCTTTTCCATGAAATGGAATCTGCTGGTAAAATTATTACATTATTTCCTGTGGTTTGGTTTAGTTGTCTGCAAGTCTCGCTTACGTTCGAAATTGAAGCAGTTGATTTGAAAACAAGTCCTGGTGGGACACAAATGTTGTCACTTGGCGGCGTTTTCTTCTTGCTCCAAAACCTCAAAAGTCTTTTAATATCGATTTCAGTCCAACCCTTGCACTTAAAAAAATTCTTACATATTGACATAAGCATAAGCTCTTACATCTTTGTCATCAAACTTGCTCTCTTTGCCCGTCTTCTTGGTCTTTCTCCTTAGGTTTTGTAGGAACATTGGCATCATCATGGAAAGAAACTTGGAAGAAGAATCTAAGGTTTATTTTCTTTTGGTATTCTTTTTGTGTTTTCTGTGTTTTTTTTTACTTTGGGGTTTTCTTGTGTTGGTTTTAATATATGGTTTTTGATCTGATTGTTATTAGGATATGGCAGAAAGTGAATTTGATCAATCAATATTACTTTCAATGTCCAAGTCACCAGGCCAAAATGGCAGACCAAGCAGTATGATTCTCAAGGCAAGTCCTTATGTATGAGGTTTTCTTTTTAGTATTTGAGTTTGTTTTCGATTTTGACAATGGAGTTTTAACAAACAGAAATCAAAGTCTGTAATCCCAGCTCATTTGGTAGCTGAAGCGATCTCGACACTGCAAGGTCTTGATCTGAGATGGTCCGGTCCGATAACACCTACCGAAATGCAGTATGTCGAGCAATATATTGTTGCAAAATATCCTCAGTATTGCACTGGAGTCGTGGAAGACGGAGAAAAGATGTTGGACGTTGATAATCTATCGAACAGCGAGGAATCCTTTGAGACTGTTGTTGATAATAAGCGGAAATCACCGAGGGTTGTGAGCAGTAGGGAGTGTTTTTCGTCTTCGTCGATTAGTGGTATGGTCGATATCGACAACACTCGATTGGAGCCTTCGAGGCTTTTCGATATCCTCTCGAGGAAGACTTCTTTCCAAGGGAACTTTGTTTCAATACCCGAAATTCAAGCTCAAAACAGGGCGTTGAAGCACTGTGGGCTAAGTGAAGACGAGTATTTAGTTCTTTTCATGCCGAAGTACAAGGATGCTATGGTGCTGATTGGTGAAAGTTACCCTTTCTTTAAAGGGAACTATTATTTGACGATCATCGGCGAAGAGTCGGATTACATAAGGGAATTCGCCGGCCAGAGAGAATCGAAGGTCATTTCGGCACCGGAAACATGGTTGGATTTAAGGATTAAAGGGTCTCAACTTAGCCAAAACTTTAGGAGAAAATGTAAACATACCCCAAAAGGGTTGTTTTCTTATCCGGCTGATGTAAACGGGACAACTCGACACTCGTTGCATTGGATCTCGGAGGCGCATAGAAACTCGTGGCATGTCCTCCTGGATGCGACTAGGCTGGTTCTCAGAGAGGGTCAGCGTCTGCCGCTCGCGCTCCACCGGCCGGACTTTGTGTTATGCACGGGTGATAACACCCATGCTCAGCATTCCAAGATTACCTGCCTCCTTGTTAGGAAAAGATCATTTGATACCACCTCTTGTGCTCCGTAGACTTGCATTTTCATGAGTTTTACTTTGATTCGTAATGTTGTAAAACATTATCTAAATTTTCAAAAGTAAATTTATCGATAGATTTGATCCGGTCTGAATTATTAATTTATAGCCTGAAAACTTTGTAAAATAATGTTAGTAATAACATGTATCTACGTACTATTAACATACGTTAGCTAACGATATATTGACGTTTTTCTTAAGTTCATGAACCTAATTAATAATTTTAAAGTTTGTATTTACATATATTAAACACAAAAATATATTCACGATCCATATAAATGATGTAAATTCGAATAATAAATATTCAAAATATCTATTCATAATTATTTTAAATTTACAACGTATAATAATTTTTTGACAACATATTTAAATTCGTAATTTGAGTCGCCATCATTAATACCGACCTATATCAATTTATATAAAATTTTAGTATTCTAAAATTATTTTAAACCGTTTTGTATTCATTAAATTAAGTAATTGAACTTAATTAATACTTTTAAATTTATATTTTCTAATAAACAAACTTAGGAGGATGTACTTAAAACATACTTATATGTATATTTAATATACTTTTTATTAGAAATTGAAAATTAGATTCATTTAAAACAAGGATTATGATTCAACGGGGTTGGGTCAAGCGGTAAACAACTTAATATCGCTTATGTCTTGAGTTCGAGTTTTTGTGTATGCAGAAAATTCCCGCTTGAAGACTCACCCACCACAACCATATGTACGACTCAGGTTGGTCCGGATTAATAAATGCTAAGCCTTGGGAAATGGGAGGGCAAAAAAAAAAAGATTAGGAACCCATCAAGTAGTATAAGTGGTAAAAGGAAATGTTGTACTTCCTAAAAGTATTGCCTTTGAACAGTTGTGTCTGCAAGGTGTGTGTTGTCAATTAGTTAAGAAAATTCTGAACAGATAATATCTTATAATCACAAAAAAATAAGGATTAGATTTAGATTTTAACATTCAAGGCTCGAATTTAACTCGATCTTTTTTTAAATAATTTCTACATAAGAGAAAGGGGAAAGAAAAAAAGAAAATTTTGCTCCTAATGGATATTAAACCCATAACATTGAAAATAATAGAGGTGTCAACTGAGAGCTTTTAACCACTTGTTCTAGATATAATTGACTAAGTTGATCTATTTTAAAATTTACAAAACATTATATTTTTCATATATTATACTTTTTATGTCGCATAAAAATAAATTTATAATAATATGTAATACAATAATGTAAATATTAAAAAAAGTGAACGGACTAAAAACAAGTTTGGGTTAGCCATTTATAAATTTAGGTAGGCTTGGACACAATATGAAAAAAAAATATATAAAGTTAATTTTATACTTCTATATTTGATTCACCACACACACCTATATTATTAACTTAATTTACTCCATTTATGCTATTGAAATTTAAATCTCATGCATTATTTAAAAAAAACCTAATATTAAAAATAATGTATGCCGAATATGTATAACTTTTGAATTATCCAAATCTATAAATATATTTGAAAAATATGAACTCTTTTTTATTTTCAAATTATTTAAATATTGATTTTAATTAAATATTATTATTTATTATATATCTGAATTTACAAAAAATCTAAATTAAAAATTTTAAATCATATGTCAAATATTAATAAAAATATGTACAAATTTTATTTTGAATTCCACAAAAATCCGACGATCAATGTTTGAGTTCTCTTGAAAATAATAAATATATTCTTCATTTTATAATGTAAAGTTAGTGTTATGTATGGCTCATAAAAAGTCTCGTTGTGGGGTTACGAATTATGTGGGTTGGGGGTGTGGGGGCGCAGCCCCCGCGGTACGGTACAGGGTTGATTTTGTAATTATGTACCAGGGTTTTCTATTATAAATAGAGATATAACCTAGACCTAAAATATCATTGAATAAAAACTTCTAGCGCCGCATAGGCACCGAGGACGTAAGCACATTGCCGAACCTCGTAAAATTCTCGTGTTCTTTCGATTTCTTTACCCGTTTTCGTCAACAATTGGTATCAGAGCCAGGAGCAAAATTCGAAGTCGCGAAATTCGATGGTCAGGGTAACTTCGGATTATGGCAAACGAGGGTGAAGGATCTATTGGCGCAGCAAGGGATCTTGAAGGCTTTGCGACCTACAAAGCCGGCGTCGATGGATGAGGAAGATTGGGAAGAATTGCAGCAGCGAGCGGCAGGAACCATACGATTATGCTTGGCGGACGAGGTCATGTATCACGTCATGCATCTATCGTCTCCAGACGAAATTTGGAGGAAGTTGGAAAGTCAGTTTATGTCCAAATCCTTAACGACAAAACTGTATCTGAAGCAGCGGCTGTATGGGCTGAAGATGCAGGACGATCACGATTTGGCGCAACACGTGAATGTCTTTAATCAAATCGTTTCTGATCTGGCTCGGCTTGATGTGAAAATTGAGGATGAAGACAGAGCGATGATTCTGTTGTGTTCGTTGCCTTCCTCTTACGAACACATGGTGACTACTCTTACATATGGGAAAGAGACTATCAACGTTGAGGAGATTACTGCAGCCTTGTTGGCTCACAACCAGCGGAAGCAGAATGCAAGGGAAAGCTCTCAAGCCGATAGCTTATATGTCAAGGGTAATCGAGATCGTGGACGGAAGCCAGAGAAGGCAGGGTCCGGGAAGCGGAATTCCAGATCCAAATCCAGGGATAAGAAGACGATTCACTGTTACAAGTGCAAGGAGGCGGGACATATGAAGCGAGACTGTCCGAAGTTGAAAAAGCAGACCGATGAGAAGCGTGATGGCTCATCCAAGTCTGTGAACGTGGTCGAGGATGATACTTCTGATTGCAGTGAGGGTGATATGCTTTCTATTTCAACGACACAATTGACGGATGCTTGGATTCTTGATTCTGGATGTTCTTATCACATCACGCCAAATAGGGAATGGTTTTCGACATACAGGCCGGTTAATTCTGGTTCGGTTTATTTGGGTGATGATCGATGTTGCAATATTGTTGGTATTGGTGATGTCAGAATTAAGATGCACGATGGCTCCGTTCGGACGTTGAGTGGTGTTCGACATATCCCAGACTTGAAGAAGAATTTGATTTCCTTGGGCACTTTGCACAAGAATGGTTTATCCCTAAGGCTGACGAGGATAGGGAAACCATTCGGATTGTTAAAGGAGCATTGACTGTGATGAAAGGCAAGATGACTGCAGGGAATATCTACAGATTGTTAGGGAGTACCGTTGCAGGTGGAGTTCACTCTGTTGAGTCCTGTGATGATACGACAAAATTGTGGCATATGCGCCTTGCTCATCTAGTGAACGTGGTATGGCAGAATTACACAAGAGAAACTTGTTGCATGGTGTCAAAAGCTGTAAGCTCGATTTTTGCAAGTATTGTGTTCTTGGTAAACAGACTAAAGTCCGTTTCAAGACTGCGAAGCACACAACTCAAGGGATTCTTGATTATGTGCATTCTGATGTATGGGGGCCTTCCACGACATCGTCTTTGGGTGGATCTAGGTACTATGTTACTTTTATTGATGATTTTTCACGGAAAGTTTGGGTGTATTTTTTGAAACAGAAATCTGAAGTTTTTGAGAAGTTCAAGCTGTGGAAAGCTGAGGTAGAAAACCAAACAGGACGAAAAATCAAGTGTTTGCGGTCTGACAATGGTACGGAGTACACAGATTCACAGTTCCTACAATTCTGTAAGGAGCATGGGATTCAGAGGCATTTTACAGTGCGCAAGACACCACAACAGAATGGTGTTGCGGAACGAATTAACAGGTCGTTGAATGAAAGAGCCAGATGTTTGCGGTTGAATGCGGGGCTTCCCAAACACTTTTGGGCTGAGGCTGTTAACATGGCGTGTTACCTTATCAACAGATCGCCAAGGGCATCGCTGGCTGGGAAAGTTGCAGAAGAGGTATGGACTGGTCATGATGTTAGTTTTGATAACTTACGGATTTTTGGTTGTCCTGCTTATGTGCATGTACCTGCTGATGAGAGATCCAAACTTGATGCAAAATCGAAGGAGTGCATTTTTCTGGGTTACAAGAAAGGTGTCAAAGGATTCAAGTTCTGGGATCCAGTTGCGAAGAAAGTTGTGATTAGTAGAGATGTCATTTTTGATGAACAGTCTATGTTGCAGCAGAAGCAAGACACGACAGTGGTAGATTTCGAGCAGTTTCCAGTTGAGAAACCAGAAACTTCTCAACCGACTTCTGGTGGTTCCACTACGGATGATTTGCAGGATTATAGTCTCGCCAGAGACAGGGTGAGACGGACGAATATAAAGCCTCCGAACAGATTGGGTTTTGAAGACTTGGTATCTTTTGCACTTACTGTTAGCAGTGATGATCCATTTACTTTTCATGATGCCGTTACTAGTCAGGAAAACGACTAGTGGATGGCAGCCATGGTTGAGGAGATGGAGTCTTTGAATCACAATCGCACATGGGAGTTAGTTCCCCTTCCTGAGGGTAAGAAGCCGATTGGTTGCAAATGGGTGTATAAGAAGAAACCAGTAGTAACAGAAAAAGAGGGGGAGAAGTTCAAGGCTCGTTTGGTAGCGAAGGGTTTTTCACAGCAGAAAGGAGTTGATTATGATGAAATCTTTTCTCCTGTGGTCAGGCACACTTCAATCCGAGCAGTACTTGCATTGGTGGCTAGTTGGGATTTGCATTTAGAGCAGATGGATGTTAAAACTGCTTTTTTGCATGGTGATTTAGAGGAGCAGATCTACATGCGGCAACCTGAAGGTTTCACTCAACCTGGAAACGAGCATTTAGTTTGCAGATTGAAGAAATCTTTGTACGGGTTGAAACAGTCTCCGAGACAGTGGTATAAACGGTTTGACTCCTATATGATCAAGATTGGCTACAACCGATGTGAGTATGATTGTTGTGTCTATGTTAAGAGCCTTGATGATGGTTCTTTTATTTTCTATTACTGTATGTTGATGATATGTTGATTGCTGCGAAGAACATGGATGATGTTATCGGTTTGAAAACTTTATTGAGTCAGGAATTTGATATGAAAGATTTAGGTGCTGCAAAGAAAATTCTTGGAATGGAAATTTGCAGGGACAGAGACTCAAGGAAACTGCGGCTATCTCAACGGGTTATGTTGAGAAAATGCTAGAAAGGTTTGCGATGAGCAGCGCGAAACCAGTTAGCACTCCATTGGCGAATCACTTTAAGCTCTCATCAGAACAGTGCCCTAAGACAGATAAGGAAGCTGAAAATATGGCAAAGGTTCCGTATTCTAATGCTGTTGGCTGCTTGATGTATGCGATGGTATGTACTCGTCCTGATTTAGCTCATGCTGTTAGTCAAGTTTGTAAGTACATGTCTAAACCTGGTAAGCAACATTGGGATGCAATCAAGTGGATCTTTCGGTACTTAAAGGGTACTGTGGGACATGGAATTATTTTTGGGAGTCAGCGGGATAATCCTTTGGTTGTAGGATATGTGGATTCAGATTATGCAGGTGACTTGGATAATAGAAGATCTACGACAGGGTATGTGTTTACTCTTGGTGGAGGGCCTATTTGCTGGAAGTCTACTGTTCAATCTGTCGTGGCACTATCTACAACTGAAGCTGAATACATGGCAGCGGCTGAAGCTGCAAAAGAAGCTTTATGGCTTACTGGTTTAGTGAAGGAGTTGGGTGTTCAACAAGGTGGAGTTCAGTTGCTTTGTGATAATCAAAGTGCTATTCACTTGGCTAAGAATCAGGTGTATCGTGCTAGAACTAAACATATTGATGTAAGGTTCCACAAGATCAGAGAGTTGGTTGCATCTGGAGAGGTTTTGTTTCAGAAGGTACATACTGATGAGAATGCCGCTGATATGTTCACCAAGCCAGTTACGACAGACAAGTTCAAGCATTGCTTGGACTTGTTGAATGTTTCGAGTTGTTAAAGAAGCAAGGTAACCCAACCCACATTGAAGTTTCCAAGGGGCAGGATATTCGCCAAGGTGGAGATTTGTTATGTATGGCTCATAAAAAGTCTCGTTGTGGGGTTACGAATTATGTGGGTTGGGGGTGTGGGGGCGCAGCCCCCGCGGTACGGTACAGGGTTGATTTTGTAATTATGTACCAGGGTTTTCTATTATAAATAGAGATGTAACCTAGACCTAAAATATCATTGAATAAAAACTTCTAGCGCCGCATAGGCACCGAGGACGTAAGCACATTGCCGAACCTCGTAAAATTCTCGTGTTCTTTCGTTTTCTTTACCCGTTTTCGTCAACAGTTAGATTTAGATATTCAAAAATATAATTTAATCTATATAAGTGATGCAAATTTAGATAATAGATATTTAAGAGGTGCTTATTTATATCTATTTTAAATAATAATTTTAAAATTTAAATTTATAAATTATAAATTATTCAAATTTATAAAAGAATAAATTAAATATTTACAAATATCTCAATCTACTATTTAAGTTTTCATCTTTACTTAACATTTTTGGGGTGTTTGGCAAAAAAACTTATAGCTGGTAGCTGATTCCAGTAGATTGTTTGACCAACTGATTTGATTAACTATTTATACAAAAGTGTTTGATAAAATTTAGCTGATAACTTATATGGGTAAAATGATAAATAAGAGTATGATACATTTAGTTGTTAAGTACATATATGTTTTATAATACTTTAGTCTTTATTGAGGCTAAATTATTCGGATAAAATTGTTTTGACAAGAAATTGAAAATTCCTTAAGAAAATTATTCAATATTTTTTAAAATTTTGAATATATTTTTTAAATTTAATATTTACAAATATTAATCTTATGAGATTGATACATACTATTAACCTTGTATAAAATATCAACACTACATTTAATTTTTACTTTCATGTTTTGCTATATTTTCTTAACTAAAATATATTTGAAAATCTACAGCCAAAAAGTTTATATTTAAATGTAAATTAATTAATTGAATATCATATATTCTCCAGCTGTTCAGAAGGATCATGCTCAAGGAGGGTTCAATATGGATTGCTTGGATTGATTCTTATGTCCTTGAGGGTAGGTCCTGCTGGCAGGTTTGCAACTCCCAAAGCTGTGGTTGGGTTTGGAGGAATTTGTTGAACCTGAAGCATGTTGCTGCTTCGATTAATGGCTTTTTGGATGGTCCTAAGTGGTCTACTGCTATGGTGTTGAGGGAGATCACGGGGAGAGTGGAGAAGGTATAGTGGGAGAAGTTGGTCTGGCACTCGAGGCATATTCCAAGGAGTTCTGTTATAGCTTGGATGGCTGTTTTGGACAGACTCCCTACTAAAATTAAACTGATTTCTTATGGTTTAAATATTGATGGGATTTGTAACCTTTATTTGTTAGAACCTGAGTCGAGGGATCACCTATTTTTTTAGTGTGGTTTTGGAAGGGTGCTTTAAGGAGCTTTCATTTAACAAGGTAACAAGGCAGGTTCTGGGATGGGATGATGATCTGAGGTGGGTGTGTTGTAGTTTGAAGGGTAAATCTATGTCTGTTGCTATGTTGAAGTTGGTCTGGAATGGTTATGTTGCTTCGGTTTGGAAAGAGAGAAACATAAGGCAGTTCTAAGGGAATTGCTAATACATGCACCAGAGTCCATAATATATGTTTTTTTGGACTAATGTTTATGCTCGAACATATTAGAATTACAAAGTCTCGAAGATTCAAAGTATATCTATTCGGTAAGCATAATGTGAATAAATCATTAAACGATTCTAATGTTGTTCCCTTTAATGTTTCATATTTGAGGTTGAATCTTTTTGAAGAAAGGGAGGATGATACATGCATCACAATGCTCACATCAAAGGAAGAAGTAATAACTCTTCCAAATGATCCACTCGTCCAAGCCTTGGAAAAGAAGATCAGAACAACAGCAGACTTGCTACGACATTTTGAATGGGATTCTAATATTATTTGGTCAACATGTATGCTGGATATACAACCGTCTGTCTCTTATCTTTCCAACGGCTCTTGAACCGCATCAATCCGATATCGGGATCTCAAGATACATTCATTTTAGTGAAGACAACGCATGTAGAAATTCCTATACGAGACTAATACGTGATTTTGTAAATATTACGAATTTTCAATATTTATATTGATTATTTGTAATATAATTTAATATATGATGATGCATTATCTTTTAGGATTAAATTTATTATTTAATTAGAAATTAAGGTTAAGTTAAAAAATTATTTTTAGTTATTATTATTTTATTAGGAATTAGAGTTAAGATATATATAGTTAGTTATTATTTTATTCATTAGTTATTTAAGACATTTAGAACTCATCTCCTATATAAAGGAGACTTCATTCAATTTTATAAAACATATTTCTTTGATTAATAATACAACGAGAGTTCGTTTTTGCAAGTATTGGTTTTCTTGTGCTTTCGAAGCTTCTTGTCCTGAAGTTCTTTCAAGTTATTGTGAGAGAGATTAATCTTCACACTCCAATTTGCCTTTTCATAGTGACTAGGAGGGTTGGTTAGAGCCATATTATCGAGTTTGCCTTTTCATTGTGACTAGGAGGGTTCGATAGGACACTTAGAGCTATATTATCGAGTTTGTCTTTTCATTGCGACTAGGAGGGTTTGATAGGACACTTGTCCATCCATTTTTCATAAATCCATCCTTACAATCATCATCTTTACCGTTCACTTTCGTAAGGAGCCATCTTCTACTATTTATCCCCTTTGTTCTTCATCAAGTCTAGAACTTTCTAGGTTTGATTCTTCAATAAGAGCAACGTTCATTAATCCGTCACCACTCCTCTATCACACTTTGGTGGAAGACTTGATTAAGCAACTGATGAAGGTGGTGCGCATTAAGATTGCAGCCTTGCGTGGCGTGGCCTTGGGTAGTTTTTCTGGTCTAGGTGATGGGGATTCCCTTTCCTTTTTGATGTTTGCTTGTTCTGCTGTCATTTCTCTGTTATGGCTTCGCTATAGGTTTTGTTGCAGAAGTGCTTTCTAATTTGTAATTTCTAGTACTTTTGGATGGGCTATAATTTTCTACACTTCTAGGAAAAATTATATTTAACAATTTTTTATAATGAGTTATTATTATTATTTGAATACATAAAGAGAGAGGAAGCAGTTTCTAAACTAGTCTACCAGTATCGGTTCAGACACTACATACAACATTCACCTGCAGCAACGGTTCCAAAGAGTAAGGCGGGCGAGTGTAGGTCTAAAGTCCAAACGGTAGAAACCAAGATAAATTTGTCATCCTATCTCTCACCTTGTTGCCTTCTCGAGGTCTATAAAAAAATTTTAAGCGTACCCTTCATTTTCGCACCCTGATCAAGTAAGATTAAAGCTTCCTCACTATTTGTTTCTAAGATAACAAAACCCATCTTCATATCCCATACTAGACATAAACCCTCGTAGATTTTTCATAGTTCTACATTCAGAACTGAAAAAATACCATTAACTTTCGTATACCTTACCAGTTGCTAATTACTTCGTCACAAACTTCTAATCTTGTGGTACCCTTTCTTGTTCCATCAGAATTAATTTTACACTAAATGTTGTTATCACGCATTTAAAAAAAAAGCAAATTTACTAATAAAAATAGAGTAAAATACATAAATGATCTCTCGAGTATAAGATATTATTTTATTAGTCAATCGATTATTAAAAGTTACAAATGGCCACCTGACTATTCATTATGATCCAAACTCGTCCTTTTTTCATTAAAAATTTAACGATTGTCTGAGTTGGACGTTAACTTGCTAACTGAGATATGATATAATATGGTCTTGATAACTCTCCAAAAGAGTTATCATTTAGTACTTTATACCTAGGTTTAGCTTGAAGTTAAGCATGTTTAAAAGCATTTTAGGATTAAATTAGTCATAATTGCATATATTTTTACATTATTAGAAATTTGGTTAACTTAGGCTAATTTCTAGTTTTTCTGTTAAAAAAAGGTGCAAAATACTGCAGCATTGGAACGGATGCTACAACAAGTGATGACTCACCAGGGCTGAGCAGAACATTCTGGAATAGGACAACTGACTGGGACAACTGTAATTCTTCTTATCCGAGCCTGCAACGTTGAGAACGATTATTGGAGAGGATTTGACAACCCTTACCTAAAAATAGGGCAATCATTTGCTCATTTTATCATCATATCTTCACCCTCTCCTCTCCACAAAGTCTTCTCGTCCTTTACCATGTCTGCTTAAGCCACTCAGCCTGGGAAGTGCTGCAACATTTGAGGAAAAGCTCTTGCCGAGCAGCATCGGCGGTTAACAAAAGATCCCTTCAGCTACACTTGTCCTCCGCTTGAGATAGGGAAGTACTAGGATAGTTTGAATATTGTTGTTGTGGATGATATTTGCTTTAAACTTAGTTGTTTGATGGATGCTTTTTCTATCATGAATGTTTTAAATTTATGACTTTGTGCCTTGAACTTATGAATGATTAAAGAGATTTTATTGTTCAAGTATATTGTTCATTTAGTTTGGAAATAAACTTGATGATATTCATACTATTTTTGTGGCCTTGGTATTGCGAGAAACTATTGCATATCAAGATGTATGTTACCAAGAATTTGATATAGTTACTAAATTGATCGTTTTATAAAAAGAAGCATTTTAATCCTATTATTATACTTGAAAATTCATTTTAGTCCTTTATTATAAAAGGAATATTTAAGTTCATGTACGTTTGAAAAATGAATATTTTGGTTCAAAAGTTTTAAGTTATAATTAGTTGATTTAAATATCTTGGTTTAAACACCCTCTAAATTCCTATTAATTTTAAAATTCAACAAATTGATCACTCCTAAAAAAAGGATAGAAATTTATTCAATGTAATTTAAAAAAAAAAGAATAAATAAGAATGATCTATGATGATGTTGACATTCTTCGTGAGTACATGACATGCATCCATTTATGATTGAATTTTTTTTGAAATAAAATAAAAACTTGAAATTTAACATTTTAATAAAATTTTAAACATATTTTATACTTTTTTATCATTTTTATTTAATTAAACTCTTACTCTAAAATTATAAGAAAATTTAATATATAATTTTTCAATTAAACATTTTTTATATTTTGGCTTATATTTGTAATATTATTGTAAGTGAAAATAATATAGTTTAGAGTTAGAAATAAATTAATTTTGAGTTTGGATTCCATAAGTGTTTTTAAAAATTATGTAAAAATTCACAACAAAATATTTTAAGAAAAATTAATTTATCTTAGTTTAAAATTGAGATGGGCCTAAAGAGTGTTTAAACCAAAATATTTAAATCAATACATAATGAAAAAGTTAGCTTTCAAAGTTTGTGTAATTAATCACTTTGACACCTATTCTTCTTTTTTTTGACATTTTAACCTCTAACATTTCAATTTTTAGCCAAAATAACTCATTTTGGATGAAAACTATTTGTTGAATAATGGTCAATACATGTTGCAGACATGACATTTTTATATATGTTTAATTGATGGTGACGCGTGTCACATCACCTAAAGTGATGATATGATATGTGCCACATCACTTAATAATCATATGTGAAAATACTACGTCAGCAATATGTGTTGACCATTAGTCAACTAATGATTTCATCCAACAATAACCATTTTAATTAAAAGAATAGGGACAAAATGTTAATTTGTGCATATGTTGAAGACTAATTTTATCATTATGCCTTAAATCAATTTACAATAACTTTAACATTTTGGACTGAAACATTGTCTTTTCAAACATACAAGAACTAAAAAAAAATTATTTTTATAGAATAGAGAGACTAAAATAACTTTTTAGATATAATATAAGAACATCTAATAGATTTTAGCTAAAATAAAAGGCATAATGACAAAATTACTTCTAACATTTATTAATCATTTTGTCTCTTATTCTTTTTTTAGATTATTTTAACTCAAAACATTTCTATTTTTGGTAAAAACAAGTATTGTGAGATCAAAATTATTAGTTAAATAACGATCGATACATATTATTGACGTGACATTTTTATATATATCACCAAACACTAAAGTAATGATGTGATATATACAACATCATTAATTGAATATATATGAAAATATTATGTTACTATCATGTAGTGACCGTCAGTTAATTAATAATTTTCATTTAAAAGAGATTATTTTGATTAAAAAAATTAAAACATTAAAAGTTAAAATATACGAAAATAAAAAAAAAAAGGCAAATTGATTATTTGTATAAATATTGAGGGTAATTTATTATTATACCAAACAAAAATTTCAGTTTCATCTCCTACCTCACATTCCGTTAGTACGTCACCTTCCTTTTATCGAGGGTAGGGCAAATCCCCTCCAATTCCCTCTCCCTCTTCTTTCGAATCTTAACACCGAAAAAGTCGAATCTGCCTCTATCGCCGCCGCACAATGTCACAGGTACTCATCCCTTCCAATACTCTCAATTTCCCTCGTTATAGAACCCTGCATCGAACTTCAATAGATCTAATGATAGAATTATCTTGAATATCAATTCCCCGTGGTCAATCTAGTTTTTTTCTTTTTATTTTTCCGAATCGTTTCTTTTTTGCTCAATTATCCAATTTTTTTATCGGTCAGCGGGATTAAATTTCGTAATTTTTGCTCAGTATTGATCTATGAACATCTTTACGGTGATTAACTTTGGTTCAGGTTGATAATAGAAACTCTTCTGCAGCGAAGCGTGCTAGAACCGATGGTATGCGCATTAATTTTTATATCATTTTGTGTGCTTTTTGATGTTGACAATGTTGAATTTTTGTGGTTAAATTGGTAGGTAGTCGTAGGGAAGATGATTGGACATGTCCTAGTTGTGGGAATGTCAATTTTTCATTTAGAACTACTTGCAATATGCGCGATTGCACTCAACCCAGGCCAGCTGTTCATAATTCAGTAAGTCTTTATTTTTATTACCCAATGTTGGTGTTCAAAATATTCCCGAGTTTTTAATGTTGTTGAATCTTTAATTGCTTTAGTTTTGTCTTATAGGTTTTAATGACTATTGACTAATGTTCGGATTGAAATTGGTTTTACTAATAAGTAATAACTGATGTTCAGATTGAAATTGTTTTTAACAGTATTAGTAATAGAAGAGCAGATTCTTAGAAATGAATGGTTTGACGAGTTACTTTTAATGAATTTAATACTTGGTTCTCAGCTGATTTAAAGGAAAAGAAGACCACCAGACTATATCATGTATTCATGTAATTCCCAATGTTTGCTTCGTTTTAGTCCCTCTAAATTCCTTATTAAGGAAAAAAAATTATTCTGCTGGTAATAAAATCATAGACCGTTTCTATTGTTTATCTCTTTAGAAACTAACTCTTGTAATTTTTTTCCTCCCACTATTATTGTTTTTATAGATTGAGTTGGTGAATTTTCCCTTGCAGAAATCTGCAGGCAAGCCTCTCCAAGTGC